CCATCTTATAATAAAAATGATAATAATAAATTATATTTCTACAGCGCTCAATACAAATTTGTCTAAGCAGTTTACAGGTACATCAAATTGTCAAAACAATCAAAAGCATCTTACATAGTTGAAGATATTAATAACTTATAAACTAAATTTACAAAAGAAGTAGTAAGCAATCTATTGTACCAATTGGAACTTTGAAATCACCAGTTCAGTAATATGAACAAAGCAAACACATGGTGATTCTAGAATCTAGAGTCATTGGCCGGCAGGTCACTTAATGTATATGTCCAGGTACTGATGTGATGACAGTGTGTGATCATTGTAGTTATTGAGTCATTTGTATCCGTTATCAGTAGGTAGGTGAATTACATGCTATCAGGGTTATTTTATAGTAAATTTATGGTGGTATATGTACTTATAGTGGAATTCCATTTGTGAAAAATTGAAGGTAGTGATACTGCAGTGGAATTATATTTGAAAAAACATGAAATTTATATTCAGTACTTAAAGTGCATTATATTTTTAAATGTATAAAAGTAGTTTTTGGTACTTGCAGTGAAATTCCTCTATTGAAAAAATGGAAGGATATATTCTGGAATTATCATTTGGAAAGACTTAAGGTAAGATTAAGTGCTGCTTGCAGGGAAAAGTTTGATTTTAAATTTGGAAGGTACTTGCAGTAGAATTTCACTACCGTAATTAAAATCAAAATTCAGTGACATTCTATCTTGTAAAAAAAATTACTTTAATGTTATACTGTATTTACTATTTAGCACTTGTAGTCTATTCCATAATGAAAGATTCAAATGCAATGTTTTGTACTTCTAGATATTTTCTATTTTTAATAAATAACAGTAAAGTTATGTCTTGAAAGTGAAAGTGAAAACATAGTGTTCAGTACTTCAGATTAAATTCGTTGTGGAAACTTAAAGGGAAAATGCGGTAGTAAAATTTCACTTTAGAGGCTAATGAATGTAGATTTAAACACTCAGTACTTATCAGTAGTTGAAATGAAATTCTGTTTGGAGAGACCTCAAATCTCAACTTGCAGTACTGTGCCATAATGCCATTACAGTGCAAGATAATTGTGTGAAAATTTGTTGCCAAATGTTAGTCGTGTGGTGAATGGGCATTGTTTTCATAATTTGTTTTCTCTTTTTTTTTCAATGTTAAATTCATTTATTTAAAAGTATAACAAAATAGAAATTGTGCTGAAAATATTACTTTAGTTGAATTAGTAAGTGATGACAAATCACAGCCTATTGTTTAGGGATGCCAGTTTGAAGGCAAAAGCCTGAATTCAGGCCCTGGCAAGTTATTTTCAGGTCATAGTTTAGACTTTTTTGTGTGTAAAAAATAGCTCATTCTAGGTGATTTTCAGGCCCTCTGATAAATTCTAACTGGCATCCCTGATTGTTGTATATCATGAAAAGTTGAATACTATTAATTTTTTATTTGTAAAAAATGTGCATTGCATATGTTTGCAAGAACAGGGGAGTGTTTCATCAAGCCTTAATATTTTTTAGAGACAGGTTTAACTCACTAGATAAGTATAATGATCAGGGAATGGACAAGTGCTCTAGGTTTACAAGATTCTTGATTGACTTTCTAAAAGGGAGGAGCTTCAAAATAAAACTTTAAGAAGCTCTGCAATCAATCCTGTTATGAAGGTTTTTATAGCTTCGAACTACTACGCAACAGGCTCTGTCCTTGCAAGCACTGCAACTACACAAGGATGTAGTGTTGCTACTACCTCTTGGATAATTTGAGAAGTCACGGTTGCCATATCTCAGTTGGTTTTAAGTTTTATTGAGAGGGGCATAGCTGCCTGTGTGTAGTATATCATAGTAGACTGTCCTGCGGCTAATACAAATGTTTTTAGTCCTGTAGCTTGATAGAATTGCCTAATTGAAATATTGTATTTAATTTAATATACATATACTTCACTTAATCTTGAAGTGTATTACCTGTATTGTGAAATCAGATTGATCAGTTTAATATTGAATCATGTTTCTAGTGCACCTTTAAATGCTCAATTTTGAATAGCGTAAAAGTATATATTAGTTTGTAATAATAGATATGTGCAATATGTAGTCTTTTACTATTGACGTTTTTATGTATTGATAAAAGTTTAGAATGTTGGTGTTTTTACAAACTAGATAAGGCACTGTTCTGTTGTTTTATTCTCCTTTTTTTAAAACTGTAATATGCATTTGTTTATAAATATATCTCATCAATATGCCATATCCTATCAGAATGTACTGGATGAAGAAAAAAATGTATTTTAATACAATCATTTTGAAATGAAATTACTGTTAGTTCATGTGGTTGACATGATCAACTAAAATATTGTATATGTACTTAATGTTCTGTGTAATGATAAAAATATCTACTCAGCTCATCAAAATACATGTTTTAATGAAAACAAATATTTTATTTTGTAACTTTGTATTTGTTTCTTGGGCAGTCAAACTAATAAAAATTCTGATCTACCAAATCATATACAAGTAGCTACTAAACAGATAGCTGCAGATTGCAGATGTAAAGAGGACAGAAAATTGAAGATTCTGAGAATAGAAATGCATTGCGTGTAAAATGAGTTTTCAATAGATTATTGATTCAATTCAATTCAATTCAATTTATTTTGCCAAGCATTAAAAAACATACAGGGTAACAAAAAAGCAGTTATACAAAGTATCACACAATTACAATTACTAACATAGATAAACACAGTCAATTTACAAAATAAATAGTTATCTTTAAAACACCAGGGAAACTGCTTAGGCTGGTAGCAGCCAGAAAGGATATGGATTTGACCAAATAATCAAAAATAAAAATTTCTCATGATTTAATTTAAGCTATATAGTAACATGTAAAACAAATAACAATTATATGTAAACCATTGAAATATTAAGCTAGCATCGGTATAGGTCCATCAAAATTATCAAATATTTTTTGTATTTACGTTTAAAAGTGTTCAGACGGAAATTTCAGTTCACGTATATGAGAAAGAGGCTAACAGCATTAGCGTAAGAGGTACTGGTAGTCAAATATTATGAGGATTTAGAGAGGGAGATATAGAGAGATGAAACGGTGGGAGAAACACAATTGTGTCAATTATCTTGACATCAAGACAGAATGATAAAAAACAATGTTGACAAGTTTCTGTTATTGTTTTTTTATATATTATATATTTGCTGTTATATATTTCGGGCTTCTTCAAGTATTATGATGCTACAAAGTATACAATAAATACAACCAATGAACTGACAAAAGGCAACATGTAGTAGATTGTCAACACACAAACGAAAAATCTATAACAGCAAGACAAGCCAATGGCGGAGAGTGTGTGAGAGAGAAAGAGAAGGATGTAGATGCAGGGAGAGGAGGGAAAAAAGATACAGGGAAAAAGAAAAATATTTATTAATTTTATTTCATCTCTCTCTCTCTCTCTCTCTCTCTCTCTCTCTCTCTATATATATATATATATATATATATAAGTAGCTTGCTAGGCCACTATTAGGTTCGAATAGGAGATAGAGTTAAGCCGTTACACGGCTTAGACTCTATCTCCTATTCGAACCTAATAGTGGCCTAGCAAGCTACTTATATATATAGAGAGAGAGAGAGAGAGAGAGAGATGAAATAAAATGAATAAATATTTTTCTTTTTCCCTGTATCTTTTTTCCCTCCTCTCCCTGCATCTACATCCTTCTCTTTCTCTCTCACACACTCTCCGCCATTGGCTCGTCTTAATTGCTGTTATAGATTTTTCGTTTGTGTGTTGACAATCTACTACATGTTGCCTTTTGTCAGTTCATTGGTTGTATTTAGACCCGACGGAAATACTTAGATTTGTGAATGTATTTCAGTATTCTAAAGTTAAGCCTAGGTATCTCATATATATGACGTCCATGTGTAAAACAAGCGAAGCCGATTAGAAGAATTGGCATGACGTCACTCGTGACGTCAACGCGAGATCGTACCAGTTTTTATTCCCGCGGTGATCGAAAAACTTCGTAAGAAAGCGCGCGCCTGTACTTGAAAAACGAGCGTGTACGTATTTCACGTACGTACGATACACATTGACTCTTGTGTGAAATCTCCATTAAAATATGAGATTTTGACCATTATACAGCCATTAATTCAGATCTGAGTAAGTATTTTCCAATTTCAACTTCCTCACCATTCTTAAGAAGAACATTAAGTGTAATGATTTTGCAAATAATTGTGCGGTATCATACCGCACAATTATTGTTATGTTTGCTGATGTGATGGCAATGAATGAATTGACGTGCTGAGCTGTGTACTGTATGCGTGGTGTAACTTTCAGTGCAGTCCCACATCCTTTCTTTCATGTGTGGATATGGTCGATCATTTGGCACTCCTTCAATGCAATACATGAATGAAGTCTAACTAAAAACAGGATCGACCACACATAGCAGCTTTACTATCCAGGCTGTGTATTAAGATGGGCAACACTGTACCCAGTAGGGACGCTGTTCCGAGAGAATGAGGATCGTCCGCATAATTAAACAAGGATAGAGTAAAGTACCCGGTTTTCGGCCACTTAAGACAAAATCCTATTTATTGGACTCTTTACTTCCTATTTATTATCATTTCTTGTTCAAATCATGAAGCAAATATTATTATTATTTAAACAAAAAAAGAATCCCCAAAAAAAATCACGAATTGCCATGACAATATTCATTTCAATTTTCACTGTTTTGGAGCCGGTTATCGGCCGAGCGTTTCAGTTTACGGCCGCATGTACAAAGTCAATAGGAAGCGCTCGCGCGCGCCGTGCGTTTCTGCGCTGATGTATAGCACAAGCGGGCGGAGCAGGTATCCCACCCCGGAGCTCGCGGGTGCTCGCCTGGCCGAATACAGGCACAGCGGTGATCGGAAGTTGGAATCTGAATTAGACGGACATATCGTGTGTGCGTCGCGGTGTGCGGCTGCATTGATTTAATACGTGCGATGAGATACTTTTGAGCTTGCGACCAGCACAAAATCGGGCTCTATATCTGAAAAATACTTGAAATAAAGCTCATTTTATGGTACCCATATTTCTTACATACACGCGTAAGAAACTCGATTTTTCAGATTTGGGTAGCGGGACCGCCGATTACATCGCTAAAATGTGATATTTTAGGATATATTTTTCATTGCAAATGTGGTTCTTCAGTGACACTGGCATGGTATGGTATGTGTGGGATATGTGTTATGCTATTATGCGATGTATTTTAAAGTGATTTTACCATGTATCCAACCAATTGGCCGAAAACCGGAGCTGACCGATTACCGGGTACTTTACTCTAGAGTAGAGTAAAAAAGGAGCCGGTAATCGGCCAGCTCCAGTTTTCGGCCGATTGGTTGGATGCAAGGTAAAATCACTCTAAAATACATCGCATAATAGCATAACACATATCCCACACATACCATACCATGCCAGTGTCACTGAAGAACCACATTTGCAATGGAAAATATATCCTAAAATATCACATTTTAGCGATGTAATCGCCGGTCCCGCTACCCAAATCTGAAAAATCCAGTATCTTACGCGTGTCTGTAAGAAATATGGGTACCATAAAATGAGCTTTATTTCAAGTATTTTTCAGATTTAGAGCCCGATTTTGTGCTAGTCGCAAGCTCAAAAGTATCTCATCGCATGTATTAAATCAATGCAGCCGCACACCGCGACGCACACACGTTATCTCTGTCTAATTCAGATTCCAACTTCCGATCACCGCTGTGCCTGTCTTCGGCCAGGCGAGCACCAGGGAGCTCCGGCGTGGGATACCTGCTCCGCCCGCTTGTGCTGTACATCAGCGCGGAAACGCACGGCGCGCGCGAGCGCTTCCTATTGACTTTGTACATGCGGCCGTAAACTGAAACGCTCGGCCGATAACTGGCTCCAAAACAGTGAAAATTGAAATGAATATTGTCATGGCAATTCGTGATTTTTTTCTGGGATTCTTTTTTTGTTTAAATAATAATAATATTTGCTTCATGATTTGAACAATAAATGATAATAAATAGGAAGTAAAGAGTCCTAAAAATAGGATTTTGTCTTAAGTGGCCGAAAACGGGCTCCTTTACTCTAGAGTAAAGGAGCTTCAAATCATGAAGCAAATATTATTATACTGCGTTGTACTGCGGTGATCAGAAAGTGGAATCTGAATTAGACAGAGATATCGTGTGTGCGTTGCGGTGTCCGGCTGCATTGATTTAATACATGCGGTGAGATACTTTTGAGCTTGCGACTAACACAAAATCGAGGCTCTAAATCTGAAAAATACTTGAAATAAAGCTCATTTTATGGTACCCATATTTCTTACAGACACGCGTAAGATACTCGATTTTTCAGATTCGGGTAGCGGGACCGCCGATTACATCCCTAAAATGTGATATTTTAGGATATATTTTCCATTGCAAATGTGGTTCTTCTGTGACTCTGGTATGGTTTGTGTGGAATATGTGATATGCTGTTATGCGATATATTTTAAAGGGATTTTACCTTGCATCCAACGGATCGGCCGAAAACTGGTGATGGTCGATTACCCCCTCCTTTACTCTAAGGAAGAATGGTCAGCATTTTCGTGGACATCTTTTTTTCTTTGGCATTCTGCGGGTGTAGGGTTTCTAATCTGCGCACTGGTAATGTGAAAAACGGATTTCGCGTAATAAAATACCCTTAGTTCACGGTCTTTTTTTTACGGGTTGTCGGTCTTCCTGAGGATTTATCATTGATAATGTGAAGGTCTCTGTGCTGTGTAACTGTAAGTGAGAAACGCATCATGAAGCATCATCGCAAAATTTGTTTTTTTCGCATCGCCAACACGTGATTCGATAATAAGGATCGCAGAGTTTAGATTCAATACATATCATTGCATGATAACCAATTCGATGATGTCTTTTATCTACAGCAGTCAAGATGAATGGAGACCTCAATCATTCGAGTGCTAATGGAGCATGCGGAGAGAGGGTTGCTATTTTAGATGCAGGTGCTCAATACGGCAAGGTTAGTACATCTGTGTCCAAAACAGCTGTTGATAAGCCTATTTTTCTGTTATTTATATCATTTACAGCGCAACTGGTGTTTAAAAACTTACCACAAGACACAAAATATGAATACGAATGTTCTTAGCAAAAAAAAGTGATTATAAAGAGACGGCTTTCTTCAATTTTTCTACAGTAATCACCAAAGCTAAAGATTTCACTTTATTTCAAATTCTTTTGACAAAATGTCAACACTTCATGGTTCATGTGTACATTTTGATTTGTTAAAAACTAAAGATTCACTGACATGTTTAGTGCGAACCTATCTTGAATATCATATGATGAATAGTAATTTGTGATATTTGCAATAACATTTTGATTTACTACTAGTATCCACAATGTGTGAATTTTTATTAATATTGTCTCTCCTTCTCCCTCCCCCTGCCTGCCGTAGGTGATTGACAGGAAAGTACGAGAACTTTGTGTGAATTCTGAGATTCTACCCTTAGAAACTCCTGCTTTCATTTTGAAAGAAAAACAGTACAAGTAAGTACATGAATGTTATCATCCTTGTCGATGTTTATAAGGCTAATCAAATCAAATTACAAACTTCAATTTTATGAAAGTGGTAATTATAGACCAAGATCAAGGAGATGTATCCCATTTGTGAAGCACTTTAGACATAAACATTTTATTTTCATGGACTAGAACTATACCATATTGATAACAAATAATCTATCCTTTTCATTTGAAATCAAATATCTGAATTTTCATTTACAAGTTAGTTTCCAAAATTTTGTTTTCAGAGATGATTTCTTCAACAACATTTTCTTTTATGTATCATTCTGTTCATACAACTACTTTGTTTAACCTGCAAACGGTGTACAGTACATTCTAGTTGGTTTGCTACTCTGTTGTGTTTGGCATGGCTAATAGTAGGGTGTCTGAACGATTTTTCAGTTTTCAATTTGGGATCGTTTTTCACAAATTTTTTTTTATATTTGAATTAAAAATGTAATCAGAATAATACATTTCAAATTTCAAGTCTCACCGATGTTTCTATCAAAAGATACAGCCCCTCCGAAACGCTGCAATATTCATAGGATTTTGCTCAGAATCGACGAAAAACATGCAGAGTTACGTTGTTTTGCTAAATTTAGCCAAACAGCTATATCGCGCGATATGCAAGCGTATGCATCGCGTACGCATGTCATGCGCAACTTGCAGTCTGAGCCACGTTGTCTCCGGGATATTGCCATTGACTATAACGTGTATTCACTTCCGGGGTTTATGGTGCGAACGGCTGTCCATACTTTCATTCACTATACGCGCAGATGTTACGTGATGTAACCATGGTTTGGACTGAGCGGAGCTCACGCCTCCCTAATTAGCTGATTCCAAAAATGTGGGAAGGGTATTTTTGAACTGTTGGGGCGAGTGATCTCTTGGGGCTAGCGAAAAAATAAGTGCATACATATTTTCCTTACGTCTAGCCGGACATAAGCCCAGGGGGCGCAGCTCAGGAAAGTGGCAAATTTTGGAGCTAGGATGCAAACATCGTTTAAATCGCTGTTTTGACCAAGATATTTTTAGAATTTCGGGGGTGCGCCCCTTTGAGGAATATGGAGAAAAACCTGCTCTTTCATATGACACCTCATTTATTGAGTTTCACCTTCAGGATCACAAGCCCCAAAGGTTTGAATTTCAATTTTTTCATAAAATCAATGACCAATTTTCATGGTCGCGCAATGCACGTAGACTGCATAGGGATGCGTGCAATCTCTATGGGAAGTATTTTAGCACACAACATCGGGTGTGCGATCAGACACCTACTAATTGCTGGGTAGGACAGACTCAAGGACATTCAGCTTCTCTGGCACATATAAACAGGGTTTGTTCATTTATTGAATAAATACAGCTGTGGGCCTTCCTCCCATGTAAGCTTGTAGATTTGTAGGAGAAATCTCAATTACAAATTTACTATAGCATAGTGAGCTGTACTATATGTTACTTGTAAAATCAGGACTCTTCTTTAATTCTTTTTTAATAAGTCTTTTAAATGAGAAAATAAAAGTTCTTTTGCTAGTGTACTTTCATCATCTTATTTAATTTGCTTTCCTTTTCCATTGCTTTCCTTTCATGATTCAATAAGGCTACTGCATGGGGTTACCAAAAGTTTTCAATTGTGAAGACTCACAAACCATAGAAAGCTACAGACAACATAACTAACATTTCTCATTTATCACATAGCAAGGGTCATCAAACAGCCACGCTTAAAAAGAAATAAGACATAACACTTGGATCATGCCTTAGTATAAATTGATTACCTCTTTCTTAAATTTGTTTGTAATTCTATTACTTTTTTTTTCTTTTTCTTTTTGTCCTGTAGAGCTATCATAATCTCAGGGGGTCCAAACAGTGTCTATGCCGAGGATGCCCCGACCTATGACCCTGCGATCTTCCACTGCGGACTTCCTGTTCTAGGTATCTGCTATGGCATGCAGGTAAGAATGAAAAGGTCAATAAGACCAAGGCAATGGTTCTGAAATGGCTGGGTTATTCCGTTGGTGTTGGGTTCGGAGTGATCAACAATTTTGTTAAACCTTGGCTTATATAGATTTATAATGACTATGCCCATGAAAGTTAAGATGTATGTCTATATTTCCACAATTTGTATGGGTAGATTTAGTGCTCTAAGGTTACTCACATGATATTAAGTTATAAATCAATTCTCTTTTCCCTTGGGCATTATATATTATTCCAATCACTAATGTGTCTAGTGCAAAAAAGTACCATTTAGACTGTATTTTATAAATGATGTTCATGTATTCATAGCATTAGGGATATTAGTGCTGTATAAGAAGCCATTTAATATTTATTAACTTTATTATTACATTTTTGACAGATGATGAATAAGGAATTTGGAGGGACCGTTCACAAGAAGGACACCCGGGAAGATGGCCAGTTTACGATCACAGTCGACCCTTCAGTATCCCTCTACAGGTGAGAGAGTGGGCACTCTTGAAGCAGTTGTCAAGAAGATTGTCTTGTTTTCCTATTTATTCACTGTCAAATATGGATAGAAGACCCATGCAGGTGCAAAGGAAACAACATCAACATACATGTACTCTACCATATATGTCTAATAATGTATCTAGGAAATAGGTTTAAAATATGTTTTTGTCAGAGAAGTACAAAACAAGTGGGAGAAGTGACTGTAAGGAAAATCACAGAGTTGCCAATTTGTGTTTAATTGATTGCATCTTAAAACTTCCACACTTTTCATATCATTGATTTGATTTTCCTGAACCTTCACTGATGTGCTTCCCTTAGTATGTGTTTCTTTCAGCAAACTTGATGCTAGAGTTGACTTTTTCTTTAAAGCCCCTCTGCACTAGTTTGGCCAGGAGGGATTAGACCTCCCTGCATGGTCATCGACAGCTCTCAATTAACATAAGAAAAAGGGGACCATGGGGACCAATGGTCACCGATTAGGCATTGATTGGTATACAGAGGGCTCAAGTAGCTAAAAGTAGTGGAGTGGGGCTTTAAGCTTGTTAGTCCGAAGCAATTGATACATTATAATCTTTGTTGCTTTTTTTCTTACTTTTATGTGATTATTTCAGAGGTCTTGATAAGCAGCAGAACGTGCTGTTAACACATGGAGACAGCATAGACAAGGTGGCAAAAGGCTTTGTGGTGGCTGCTAAATCAGGGAACATTGTTGCATGTAAGTCGCAGCTGACTATCTCAGCAAATGTTTTACAATTTATCCTTCCTTGCGAGACTTGAACCGCGGACCTTGTGATCCACAGTCCGGTGAAATATCCACTTGACCTCTAGAGGTGTCGCGGTCAAGTGGATATTTCACCGGACTGTGGATCACAAGGTCTGCGGTTCAAGTCTCGCCGCGGCACTAATGTCCTTTGGCAAAACATTGATCTACATTTGCCACTCTCAACCCATGTGTTAAAGACTGTCACCACTACTGGGCCAGAAGGGATTAGACCACACAGAGAGCCATCGAGGTCACTGTGACAGGTGGCTATCTCATTAACTCAGCTCTCATTTAACATAAGAAAAAGAGGATCATGGGGGACCAACAGGCACCGATTGGGGAAGTTTTCTATATAGAGGGAGCAAGTAGCTACAAGTATGGCAGTGTGCCTTTAAATGGGTACCCGGTAGGATGTGAAAGTTAATGTGGTTGGATTAGCAAGTGGCGCTTGTAAAATGGCAACTGGCTGGAATGCTCCCTAGGGAGTGGAGAATGTGCATACACTGCGGGTAAGCCTGAATCCGATGACTGGGGTAATAATATGTATGTGTAAAGCGCTTTGAGAGGGTCTGCGGTCCTGAAAAGCGTTGTATAAGAACAAACTATTTTGTTATTATTATTTTTGATGTAGCGATTTCCAACGAGAAGAAACGGTTATACGGAGTACAGTTCCATCCCGAGGTAGACCTTAGTGAGAACGGTAAGCAGATGCTGCAAAACTTTTTGATGGAGATCGCAAACTGTGCCGGATCTTACACGATGGTCAGCCGAGAAGACTCCTGCATACAAGAAATACAAAAGAGTGTCGGCAACAATAAAGTACTGGTGAGTAGAAGTTAGCCTGATACCAAACAACAATAGACGACTCAAAAAAGAATCGCTCATAATTTTTGAAATTACGATGAACCTACCAACGCAAGTTTGAAAAATGAACCCACCAATACTTACATCTTTTAGAAGACAGAGAAGTTAATTGCTACATTTTCATCTTTTGTACCTGTCAGCATACTTTAATATTCCCATTTCAAAATTGTATTATTTTTCTCTTATGATTTGTTTTGATAAATGTTGCTTGTTCATCCAATTTGTTTACTTCATGATGCCTTTGCATTAAGATAAGAGCAGGCAGGTCATTATGATAGTTTTTTAATTTTTTCTTGAAGAACCCCAAAGAGAGCTAACGCTTTGGGTAAAGGGAAGAACGATGAAACAACTATTTCTGTGTCTATTTGTATTTATTAGAAAACTTCATTCACGTGGTACATTAATGTTTTGTCTTCCAATACATAGGCATAATAATTATTACAAATATGGAAAAAATTGATTGAAAGATACATGGAAACAAAACAATAATTGTACATTTATTCATTACTTTAAATTAGTTTAAATGTTTAAAATATGACAGAGTATTTCATAAATAATCTTTTGTGTTGATAATTTACCTGTTTGTATATTGCATTAATTATGGCAAATGATATACATGTGATTTGCTGATTTCATTTTCTTTCCTTGCTCCCAGGTTCTTGTAAGTGGTGGTGTGGACTCAACAGTGTGTGCTGCTCTACTCAGGAAGGTAAATTCTAAAATCGAAGTCGAGTTTTATTTCAGTGAGAGAAATCAAGCAGTGAACAGGAATATGTCATCTAAGCAGCTTGCTAGGACAGCTGAAGACAGGAAGTTATGGATATAGATAGATTGATAGATTGGGAGAAAATTTAAAAGAGTTACATTTGAAATACCCAGGTTTTCTGCCAGAAGAAGTGAAGTCTTCCTCCTCAACTGACAAGATGTAGGGTCACATTTTTTATCTTCAGCTGACATCTTTCATTTATGCCTCATCAAATCAATGCTTCTATCTGCTCATCATACTTTTCATAGTTCTCTTTCTGTACTTCTATATTCCCCTGTTCATCGTTCATCGCTCTGCTTTCTTTTTTCACCTCTTCTTCCTTCACTCTTAACTTCTCGTCTTCATTTTCTTTCTTACTTCTGATTGCCTCCACCTCTTCAATATCATATCATTTCCTCTCTCTCTCTCTCTCCTTTGTCTTTCTCTACCTTCTCTTCCTCTTATACTTCCTTTCTCCCCCCCCCCCTCTCTCTCTCTCTCTCTCTCTCTCTCTCTTCTTTTTCTTACTCACTTGTCTTCTTCTCTCTTCATTCATTCCCATCTTCCCTTTTCTTCTCTGCATCTCCTTCCCCTCTGCCTATGCACCTTCCTCTTTCCTCCCTCTCTGTGTTCCTCACTCACCAATTATTTCCATGTACTTATTTCATTGTTGTAATATCTCGTCTCCTCTTAGGCGTTACGAGCAGACCAAGTGGTGGCGCTGCACATAGACAATGGTTTCATGAGAAGAAACGAGAGCCAACTGGTCGAGGAGTCACTTAGTAGACTAGGCCTCAAACTTAAAGGTAAGTTAAAAATGTAAGACAGAAACTCCAGTTCTAGAAATTATGAAGAAAGTCTCTGATGTGTTCTTTTTCAAATATGGATGCTTACATATTGCAATATACAGAAATCTGATCTATGACATCGTTTTGGTAGTGACTGGATAAGACACATTGAAACATGCTTAGGCAATCACCTGTAAAGAAAGGCCACATGTGTAAAGACCACCAATTTCATTTGCCTCGAAAATTATATCCAATTGAAACCTGAACTAAAGCAACCTCTCAATGAATACCACCTGTCTATATAGACCACTTTCCTTGTCTCCCTTGAACAGGCTTCACTGTTTCTATAAACTTAAGTTTCAATGACTACTCATATTTTTCGATAAAATGTTTTGTGCTTTTCTATGAACAGTTTACAGAGACTTTAGTTTTATTGTAATTTTACTAGTTCCAATCATCTTCAGAATTACATGCATATTTAAGAATATTTTTCTCTGTATTGTACATGTACATCCAACAATATTTTTTTTACTTATTTGTTTTACCTCTTCAAGAAGATCAACTATGCATTTCAATGAAGTACTCAATTTTTGCATATATTCTGTTTTATATTCTTCAGTTGTTAATGCTTCCCAGTCATTCTACAATGGCACCACCTCAGTTCCCGTTGATAAGACCGATCCAAAGTCCCCCAAACGCATCACCAAGACACTGAACCTTACGATCAACCCGGAAGAGAAGCGTAAGATCATCGGCGACACATTCATGCAGATTGCTGACGAAGTCTGCGTGGAGCTCAATCTCAAACCGGAAGATACCATTCTTGCTCAGGGTAAGTCATGTCCATTACAAGCATTTAACAAAAGTTATGAAGTTATTAACTCTTAAAAATATAGTTCTTAGGTTCAAGGAATGTTTGTAATGAAACCTCACTTAAAGGTATAGACCAGTTTTGGAAACGCCCCCCTCTCAAAAAATGAAATGGAAGCTCTTATTACCAATCATGTGAAAGAATATGTTTTGACCAGTACTTGATGATACAAATGTTGCCGGAAAACCGCCTACTAATTGATATATTTGGTAAATTATATCTATCCAGACTGGATAGATATAGGGTAGTCCCATATACATCTTTCTGTGTACAGTGCTTGTAACTTTACCAAGACATGGCCAAATTTTTTATCATTCTGATGATTCCAGAACCTTGCAGTACACACCAATACTTATATGCTAGATGATCAACCTTTTGTGATCGATTCCACAACGTTTCTTTCACAATGCAATTGCATCACCAGAACTGGTCTACACCTTTAAATCAGGATTTTAAACAAAAATGGAAGACAAAGGAGTAGGTCCAGTAGATTTAACTTGTTAAAAGAGATTGTGTTATAATGTTGTTCTGTATAATGGGACTCCACTTGTGTGACATGCTGTAGCTATGCAATATTAGCAGTAATAGATGTTTTACAGAGATTCTAAATGAGGAAATACATTCTTGCTAAGTTCCTATTTGGCCATGTTTCATAAATCTTACTAGACGTAATATTTGCCATGAATTCTAAAGAAAATCATTGTGTGCTGCAAGATTTTGTGAATACGATTTTTGTGTTGAAACATCTTGTCATTTTAAGAGGATACCCACTGTCTCTGTACATGAAAACTGGACAGTTTTCCTTAAAAAATAATGTATCTCCGGTTCAGGTCCTTGTACATCGCACTACGGAAAATTGGGCTAAGTGAATATTTTTAAGCTTGGTTTCCTTTAAAACATAAATGTCTGTTCTATTGCAGGGACCTTACGTCCGGACTTGATAGAAAGTGCTTCAGCGCTTGCCAGCTCTAATGCAGAGGCTATCAAAACCCACCACAACGACACCGAACTAGTACGACAGCTCAGGGCTAAAGGTCGCGTCGTCGAACCTTTGAAAGACTTCCATAAAGATGAGGTGCGAGCCTTAGGCAAAGATCTGGGTCTTCCATTGGACGTAGTACACAGACATCCCTTTCCAGGTAGGAAACTTGACACAGATACCAGTTTGTGGGAGTGTGTTGAGTGTGCTGTATTTAAAGGTTGTAGGAATTTCTAAATGATTTACACTAATTCAGTGCTCAAGTGTACATGCCAGGGCCCATAACAAAGATACCTTAGCATTTGATTGCTACTTTGCAATTGGCCATAATGTACAACCAATTGAACCTACTATCAATTAATCCATCCAATGATCACTTGCTATTAAGCTTTGGGTAATGGGCCCCAGATCAGAAAATGAGTACAAACAACTTTTTGAAAAATAATATTTTTAAAAAGTTCGCAGCAAAGAGTCAGTGTTGTAGATTGATTTAGACCTGTAATCCATTACTTTTCTGACAGTATGAATATCTCAGAATCTTTTGTTTCTGACTCATTAATATTCAATAGTTCCTGGTTGGAGCATATTTGTTATAAAATTATAAACTCATTTTCCTCTCATTCCCTCCCAAATCCCAATGCTGAAGATTGTACTGTTCATAATTCTACTCTTTTTTTTCCTTTTTTCGATAGGTCCTGGTTTAGCAATCAGAGTTATATGTGCAGATGAGCCATACATTGGCAAGGACTTCTCAGAGACAAATATCCTATTAAGATTACTAGTCAACTATGCAGAGTCAATGGATAAGGTAAGAGGGGCAATATGATGGATTTATGGATAATAATGGAAATAAATGTAACTTATATCGCGCCAAATTCACTCTCTGGAGTGCTCAAGGTGCATGTAGAAATAATTAAGAATTAAAGAGAAGCTGACATTCAAAAGGGTCTAATCAAAAACACTGTTTTTCTCTTCATGTGTTGGGTTCCAGGCTGGTATCCTTCTTAGCAAGCATTAAGCTTCAAATATTCCTTAAATAAAGAGGTATTGAATGAGGGAGATGTGAGTTGGTGTAGCCATTCACTTGGTCAGCTCTCTGTCTTCACCTACAAACTTACAGGTTTGTAACTGAGTCTTGCTTTCAGATAGTGACGTTAATGGTTGGTCCCAGACATAAATAATCATTTCTGATTGATACATGACTGTAAAAACCCAGTTACACACACACAGACATTAAGATTTGGAGCTGAAGTGAGTAAATTCAGAGTTGACCTCCATGCAGATACAGTGCCTTTTTTTTGCTTTTGCATTGAATGACTAATGTAAGTTTTGGGAATGATAAGTATTATTGGTTTTCCTCTATTCCTTTCTCTGTAGCCCCATGCATTAGCAAGTAAGATCAGTTCAGCAATGTCATCCGATGAGATAGATCAGCTTATTACCATCACGAGTAAGGTCAGGTTAGCCTCAACTCTGCTTCCAATCAAGTCTGTAGGTGTTCAGGTAAGTTCAAAGTTTATAGGTCTTTTTCTCATAAGAAATAAATAAACAAAATATCAGGGATGCCAGTTTTCAGGCCATAGTGTAATCTTTTTTGTGTACAAAATATCTCATTTTAGGTGATTTTCAGGCATTCTCATCAATTCTAACTGGCATCCCTGGAAATATGAATTTTACAATCAGTACATTTAGCACAGCAAGTTTCTTATGATGGATAAGTTGTGTATTCGAACAAGGATTTATGTATATTAATGTAGCAGGTTACATTTTGTCAAAATAACTGCCACTTGATAATTATTGTGATAATGATAAAGTGAAATGTCAGGTTTACAGATGGGGGAGAGTGTAGTAAAGCGATGTATGAGGTCGAGAAGGGTAGAAATATACTAAATAATAATAATAATAATAATAATAATAGTGGCTACTTGTATTGCGCACAGGTCAACCTTTCGATAAACTGCAAGTCATTATGATCTGTGCACAAGCAAATTGAGTACAGATATTTTAATGTGTATAACTTTGGATTGGCTATGTGATGTCAAAAAGGATGTATTTAAGTATTTAAGCTCAAGGTTGGCTTGCTAAAGTCAATACCTAGATTTGATCTGAATGAAATATTTCAATTATTGAAATGCATTCTAATATAATGATAAAAAATAATTTGTATAGCGCACATATCTGCCTATAATGGCACTCAAGGTGCACACAAGAGATTCACTACTAACATTTCAAATACCGGTACAAACAATGACAAATTAAAGTTAACAAACTAATATTAAATCAACAAATCAAATAACAAATGCAAATTACAGATTCAGTAAGAAATCAAAATGACAACAAGTATGTTCATAAGAGTTAATCATATATTTCCTTGAAAAGATAGGTCTTATTGTGGAATAGTTCAATTGTTTTGCTTGATTTGATGTATGAAGGGAGTGCATCTCACAAACGCGGGGCTTTTCTCCTATCTTCCTTCTTACAGGGTGATGGTAGAACATACTCCTACGTTGCAGGTCTGTCTTCAGATGAGGAGTCACCTGACTGGGAATCTATTATGCAGCTGTCTAAACTCATTCCTAAGATATGCCACAGTGTTAACAGGTAAGTGAAAATGGGGCCTTTCACAGGAATGGTCCTATGGTAAGGGCAGGTTTCACAGGAGTGTTCAAAGTAGGCCTCGCGCCTGAACAGCAGAGCAGAGATATTTTTTTGTAGCTTTTTCATAGATAAGCCATGGAACCATGTGAAGAGGCTTTGTGAAAAAGATAACAAAATGGATTTTTCAACAAAAAACACTATGGGCATGGACTACCCATTTGTGGACCAGTTTGCATTCACTCTTTGGGACGAGCTGGTTTTGATTTGTGAATAATAATTAGATCAAAGGTAACTCACATTATTACACCCCCTTTCCCCCTCTCACCTCCCTACCCCACCCCTCCCAAACCACTGCCAAAAAGATCTTTTAGCTTATTCATTGTAAGTCGAGATGTAGATAATAGATTTCTAGAATTAAATTATGTTGCATGGGTGATGCAAAAGGCACTCGCCCATAATTTGCCAGAGAAATAATCATTGAAATGTGTTTGCTGGTACATCATTTTTACCTCTGTGTTCAGGATTGTGTTTATCTTTGGTGAACCGGTAACGGAAACGATTCAAGACGTAACACCAACCTTCCTCACTCCCAACGTCCTGGGGACGCTGAGACAAGCTGACTACTATGCTAGAGAAGAGCTTGTCAATAGTGGTATGTATGGTTACTAGTGTAGAAGGGGGGGTGCTCAGGAGGAGCATGATGATGATGAGTGTCGTTGTGGCGGTAGTGATGATGATGATGATCATCATCATCATGATGGAGATAATGATGATGGTGACGGTGATGATGGTGGTGACGGTGATGATGGTGGTGACGGTGATGATGGTGGTGACGGTGATGATGGTGGTGACGGTGATGATGGTGGTGACGGTGATGATGGTGGTGACGGTGATGATGGTGGTGGTGTGGATGATGATGAAAATGCTGAAGAATTGTGTGACAATAATTGTGATGTCAATGGAAACCGAATAATAGTGATGATTGATATAAAAAATGAATGGTTATTGTAATGAAAGTGATAATGCCATAATCACTGAAGTAATTTTGACACCTTATGCCTGGCTAGAAGTAACTTGAATTGAAAGGAAACCTTATATCCATATCAGCCTTTATTCACAAGGGAGTTGTAATTAACCTTTTGGTTTGTGACAGAATAAGTGGCAAAAGTTTTCTGATAATGCTCTGACATCACTTCCAAATTGGGTAAATTGCTAAAACCGTCGTACCTGACAGGAATTATTTCCTTGAAATGCTAGAGTGCCGTAATGGCAGTTGTGCTAAAGCCAGGGTAATAATCGGGAGCGCCAGGAGTGTCAAGTCTAACAGACATGAGAGCTATACAAAATTATATTATTATTATATCCTTTTGCCTCTCAGGATACGACAAGAAGATCAGCCAGATGCCCATAATCCTTGCACCGGTCCACTTTGACCGCGACCCTGTGATGCATCAGCCATCGTGCCAGCGAAGCGTCGCTATCCGAACGTTCATCACGAACGACTTCATGACCGGTATCCCTGCCCAGCCAGGCAAACACATACCAGAGGATGTAAGTAACAAATCTCACACGAAACGACAACGAAGATAGTGATACTGTAAAGCAGTTGTTTTATTGAGGGTTTCTGTTTTTTGCAAATTGATGTAGGGTTGCCAATTTAACAAAATGTGAAATTGGGCTGACATTGCATACAAGAATATGTTTTTGCAGTATTTGATATTTAATAGATACCATATGATAGGTAGAAGAATAGATATGTTCTTGTCAACCTGTAAAATTGCTTTAGTCCTCTCAAATCACCCTCCCCAGGGTGCTGGGAGGCCATGTGTCACCAAAGTGCACGTCTTTTTAAACAAGGGTAATAATAATGATATGTATCATTTACCCAGGGTAGCATCATGAGTAAACAGTTCTCCCAAGGGCCCTGTTATCACATTATTACCCCGGCTTTAGCCAAGCTACCATGAAAGGTGCTCAAGCATTCAATAATTTTTTCCTACTGGGTACCCATTTTCCTCACCTGGGTGGAGTGTGGCAAATGTAGATTAATATCTTGCCAAAATACATGAGAAAGGGTAAATGGTATTTTGCTGAGAGGCATGCGCAGCTTGACCATTAATATACATCTGCTTCGTTTATTTCCTACAGGTTATCATGAGGATAGTGAAGGCCGTTTACAGCGTACCAGGGATCTCGCGAGTCATGTACGACCTCACAGCCAAGCCACCGGGAACGACAGAATGGGAATGATGACAACGGTTCAACAACCTTTTGAGACAGATTAAAAGACTTGCAAGCAGGGATGTGTGTTAAGGAGTGTATGCTTAGATGGAGTGGAGTGCCTAAGAACGGGTTTGCTGCCCTCGCCCTGTTCCGTTGTGAATGAGATGTGGAAGCAGCAGGGTTGAAAGATATTTTTTGATCAGAGAAAGTGCCCTAGATAAAGATAAGATAGTGAGCGTGAAGTGCGATGTTATTTATTAAAACTCAAGGGTAATTGACTATATGGCATAGGGAAAAAAGTTCAGTATTTGAGTTGGTTACAAAAATCATAACAGGATCTATTTCTTTTCTTCTTCTTTTTTACAAGGTATGAACCCTTTGTGAAATCTTCACTTTTTTTATTTAATTTAATTTGCAGAATCATATTGTTTCAAGTTAATGTGGAAAAATGTGCTATTCAAAGGACTACCAAATTTGGGGCTAAATGTGAAGCATTGTCAGTAATGAATATTTGAAAATAATAATTGACTCTGAATCAACACATTCTATATTGTATTGAATATTTGCATAACATATTTATATTGTTGCCATCGGGCTAATTACCCTGAATTTTGCATGGACTTTGCAAATTTGCCGTTATGTATATTTGAAACTTTGCACAAAAACTGACCATCTTTTCAGTCATGTCCCCACTTGAAGGAAGGTGCTTGAAAAGATTTGAGTTTCATCATGAAAAGCTTTCAAAAATATTGACTTCCACAGTCTCTCCTGCAGTGGTATTCTTGAATGGGATTAATTTTTGCATGGAAACTTTTTTTCCGAACATTTCAAGTGAAATAGTTCATTAATCCTTGGGCAGTTACTGTATACACTGATGACAGACACAGACAATTTTGCAAACCCTTGTTTGTCTAATAGGACTATTTACAGTAAACGTTAAGACATGCATTGCCAGCCCAATCCCTGTTGTTCAATTGATGACCCTGGAGCATACTGCAAAAAATATAACCCTCTCAAAAACAAGGCTTATACATTGATTATTATGTTTTTTTTTATACCTACCTTCCTTCCCTTTTTCTTTTGACTGATTGAGACTACTGAAAATACAACGGTACGTTTCCCCTCCCTTTTAGCATTCAGCTTAGTAATTTGTGAAGGCAGAGAGTATTCATGTGCATAAGGGTATATGGAGAAAATTATGCATAGAAAATCTCAAAATTCATTAATTTTGTTTATTTTTCTGAAGTGGTTTAAATTTCTATTTTTCAGTGATATTTTTAAAGTCTATTTACAGGGTTTGAGAGAATTTTAATTGGACATAGATAGAGTTTATTGAATAGCGCTTGGTTTATTTTTGATGCATTTTATGATTTGAAGTTAAGATGATTTTTTTTTTCCCTGTTTGAAGGTTAGTTCACATATGTTTGGTAAACAACAGCAGTTTATCGCAGAGGTTGTTTTAGCTTACTGCGATTTACATTTTCGTATCTTATGAAATACAAAAGAATGAGTACCGGTATGTGTTGGACCTTTATTGCGCGTCGCTAGTTTTTCATCCCCTCTTGCCATTGGGGTGTCGTAGAGCTAGTTGTCGTGGTCTAGCGGATACGTCGCCATACTGTAAATCACATGGTTCGTGGTTCGAGTCCTGCCGCGGCACTAATGTCCTTTGGCAAGACATTAATCTACATTTACCACTCTCCACCCAGGTGTTAAATGGGTACCAAGTAGGATGCAAATGTTACTGTGGTGGGTTTTGCATGTGGTGCCTGGTCTGAATACTCCCCAGTATCATGTGCGGATTAGCCATTGAATCCAATGGTTGGGGTAAGAATTACAAAGTAAAGCGCTTTAAACACAACTGTTAAACTACTCCAAGAAACGTAATATTAAAGGCCATACAAATGTGACTTATTATTATTCACCAAGTTCACAAAAAACTGCTGTGGTTTACTGTGGAATATGTGATCAGGCCTTTAATACCGTTTTGTGTGATTTTGTTAAATATCAGTGTTGTTTCATGTTCCTTGTAATACTATCTCAAGAAGGTTATATTTTTGTTACATTTTTTGTTTGTTTATGGCTTGTTGGGTTGCACAGTAGTATATGTGAGGCCACTTACAAGAATTACTAGTCATGCTGAAGTCTCATAAAAAGTCTCAAACATTATTCCAAGTGAACATTAGATACAAAAAAATTGGCCACAAAGGCATGGAGCCAGTTTCTTGAACTATCACAAGTCTAGATTCGTGGACACCTCTTTGAAGGGCATATTCATTTTAAATACAGCACAGATTTCAATGGGATATCTGCAATTTTTGACCCGTGACAGCTCCTGGAGCTGCATCCAGTTGTCTTTGGTTATCCTTTTTGATATAGCACTACACATATTTATGTCCTAATATATTCAAAACAAGTATTGGATGATTAACTATTCATGTTGTGAATGAATTTCAGTTGGGCTTGTTTATCTTTGAAATAATACCTCCATTTTTGTAAAGGCATAATTTATTCTCTAATATATAGTGCAAATGTCATACATTGTATGACCTTGAGGATTATGGCCTTTTAAAGGTTAAAGTTCATCTTTCATAAATGGACAGTAATGGTGTTATTTAACCCATGACCTACTAGAATCGGATGATTCCTGTCTTAAACATATAGGGAATATGAGAATTTAGAAGTCAATGGATTAACTTGAATTCGACTCCTACTGCTGCTTCTACTTCTACTTCAACACATACTGCTGCTTGTACTTTTACTGTTACTTCCATATTTGTACCAGTCCAGCTACTACGGGAAGACCCACCAATGACTGACGTCTTATTATGCCTTGACAGTTGTTCCTACTGTTAAGTTACGCACAAATAATGCCATTTGTTTACTTGTATTTTTGTATTTCAAATGGGAAGCGGTAAAATATATTACTTACAGGATTCCATGAGTTTTAAGTTTGCATCCTCAGTCAAGGCAATGTAATTTATTATGCTGTTTTCCTACCGGCAAACCTGTGATATAGGGCTTGAGAACACGACATGGACAATATTTGTGAGTTCACAATTTTCAACTACAATTTTCCAGTCGGGAAATAATTGATAATATTTAATAAGCATGATCCATTTTCCCTGTATGAATTTCCCCTTGAAAGGTTGGTCACAAATTGCCAGGGTTCACTCCTAATTGTACAGGAACTGCAACTTGTAAAATTGTCCAATCAAAATGAAGGTGATTACAGATACCTGATATTAGAAAGTTGCTCATGAATGGCCAGTTGAATTAATTTTGAAATGCATTGTATGGAATGAAGCCTGAAACAAGTAGTCCATAATGTTATAAAACTCTGGGACTGTTCTTAATCCGTCACTCTCTAGCTTAGAGATCATGGACAGTGAGGGCAGTATTTTGGTAGAAACATAGCGAATAGAGAGCGATAGTTGTGACATGTACTGAATATGAGACATTCTAGAGTGAGCACCATGAGTCAGTTATATAGGGGCTATATGAAAAGCCATTAGACAGAAATAATCTTTTCAGATTGAAAAGCTATAACCCAACAGCAACAACAATCATGTGCATTCAAAGGTCAATTAATGGGGCTCCAAATAGTGCCCTCCCACATTCAACCACTACAAAGGAGGGATCCATAGAGAGAACTTATTTATATTCATCTTTATGTAATCTATTCAGTGCTCATTGTTGGAATGTGTGCTTGTCGCAACTTCATCTCTCTACTAGCTATGGTTGGAAAGTTGTTCTAAAGTGCCTCTATTTGAATAAAGAGAACAAGTGTCACTTTTCTTCGGTGTATCTTGTATAGTCATTGTGCTCACCACACTGCACATGTTTTTTCTTCTGATGTGAATGGACTGTTATTGTTGTATTATATGAGTATATTATAAAAATGCTTAAAATTATTCATAATAAAAACTTTCTTGTGTTTGGCAAATGGTGTATCCTTCTGTTTCATCGATCTGTGTCAAATTAAACATGGCCTTAGTGAAACCATACATTATGTATGTTGTGAGCCCGGAGATGATAGTGATCCGCACAAATCAATTTCAAACAAAATTATAGAACAAATTTGCGCGCAATGTTGCATTAATCCGTCAATCAATATTTTGAAAATGACATGAATGGTAAATATGCATGGTAGTTACTGCTAATTCATTCATATTTTCCCCAAATTTTAATGGAACAAAACAGTTATTGATGATTGTCTGTACACCCCCCCCCCCCCCCCCCCACCAGCTACAGTCTTCCAGTAAAAATCACTCTTCCATTTTCCCTGTTATTCTAGAAAGGGTAAATGTGCCCCAAATCTCATTTAATTTGGCAAACAACAATAATTGCACTCTCCCACAAATGGACAGAGAACACACTAAAAAAAATATTGTAAAAGTGGACAGCATATTCTACACAAAACGTTTATTTGATGCAATATCATCAAGTTGCAAATTCTGTACATAAATTCAACAAAATAAACATTGCAAGCTTACTATAAGTATTCCAAGATAATATTTCATGTACAAAACAATACAAAACAATTCTACGTTAACGCTATGCTCAATGCTTGTATATAAAAGCCATCAAACATTGCAGGAAGTATTTTAAAGGGAAACTGTATTTCAAATACCATCTCATAATCATCATTATTCCCTCTGCTCATGTTTAGAGGTCTATTTCAACTTGCTGAGTGGGGGAGGGGAGGGGCACAGTGATTGAAAGCATAAAGGCTTATTCAGACATGATGCAGCAAACTGCAGTGGTGTTTTTATGGTGTGAAGTGTAATACACCTCACATTTCTGGATCTAATCACACATCGCTCAGTGAACATACACAAGTCCTTTGTTGCGGGCAGTTGCAATTCATTGTAAAGGTTTTAAAAAACGTGGCGGGTTTCTGCGCCAAATCTGAACAAGCCTTAAAAGTGAACGCTCGAGGATACAAGATTCTTCAATACAATACGCCTGAATAGAGATGTAGTAGTGCTCAAATGTTGTGTTCAAATATAAAGTCTAAACAAAGCCTAAAAAACCAGGCAGTTGCCTGAAAAGGGGCATTTTTGATACACTGCATAAGATACATTGCTAATAACTCAACTACAGCAAAAGTTAGTCATGCTTATTGAGTAGTGAAATGTTCATGAGAAAACAATGTAACAATCCTAATTGGCCTTAACTCTTCAAATGCCACACAAAGAATATTCCTCTGCCACATTGTATCTATATCATGGGATATATAATATACAGTGCGTCCCAGAAAAACAAAAACCAAGAATTATCGAGGTTTTATCATAACTTAATAACAATTATAATTAACAAATGACACATATTTGTAAAGCGTAGATCCTCTTTTATTTGATGCAACTCACATGATGCATATTTCATGCACAAGGCAAATTAGAACAGCCAAGTATCATAAAGAATGAACAGTCTAAAAGGCCAAATACAGCTTTGGCAAGAAGCACTGTGAGAGGAAAACACACAGTATGATCATGTTCATCTTTTGGATATAAAAACATTCCAAAAACAGATTATCTTGAAATCTACATCATAGCAATTTGATAAATTGATATGAAAGCATAGGTAAAGAAAAGGTAATTCATGTCTTTCATTTGCTCTTATCCACTTTATGAGAAAGAACGATAACTGTGGAACAAGCCTCGAGTACTGAATACCTTGCTCTTTTTTAAAATCGAAACCCTTTTGTTACCACACACTGCTAATTTATGGTGTTGGGTGGGGGGGGGGGGGGGGGGGGGGGGAGGGTCTTACTTAAACTACATAACATATTCTACACATATCTGTATCAACATTCTCCACTCCCTATGGATCATTCCTACAGATGAGAACAATCTGTACAAACCACAATCATGTTCACACCCTACCGGTACATCCTGGTAGAGAGAAGCAATGTAGATAAAAAAAAAACTTCCTTGAAGCCCCTCTGCACTAGTTTCGCCAGGAGGGATTAGACCTCCCTGCATGATAACTGACAGGTGGGTATCTCATGAAATCAGCTCTCAATTAACATAATAAAAAAGGACCATTGGGGACCAACACTGATTAGGTATTGTTTGCTATATAGAGGGCGCAAGTAGCTATAAGTAGTGCAGTGGGGCTTTAAAGGACATAACCACTGTACCAGGGATTGAACCCACAACCTTAGTGCCTCCATTCAGTTGTTCAAACCACTGAACTATATTAGCTCTACTCTGAGTAGAAGTACAGGAAATAAAACCATTCTGGCTCTCATGAAGTACCAGTATTAAAAACAAACTACGTAGTACAACTTTGAAACAAGAAGTGTTTCTACAGGTCCTCTCTAAACAAGGTCTATTGATAAATGTAGCTATGGACTAGTAGAAGCAGGACACGCTATTAAATGCCTGTGACCTGACATTTGCTCCTGCCAAAATTACTCAGGGCTTTGTTTTGTTGAACGTATAGGGTTAGGGTTGCCATTGGGTTTTAGGTTAGGTTCAGGGTTGGGGTAAGGGTCAGACTAAGACCCCGTTCTCACTCACTTTGAAAGTGGTCTTAGTTAGACCGCTCCAGAGGAACGGGTCTTGAGGAATGGTTTGCGAGCATTCACACTCTGAGCAGTTCTTTATGGCTCAAACCGCTCCACGAGTCAAAGTGGTCTTGTTGCTATGGCAGCTCAGGCCAGCAGGTCAATTTTTTCGCGCGTGGAATACAAACCGTTGATCATCTAGCATATAAGTATTGGTGTGTATTGCAAGGTTCTGGAATCATCAAAATGATAAGAAATTTGGCCCACTCTTGGTAAAGTTACTAGCACTGTACACAGAAAGATGTATATAGATATACCAAATATATCAATTAGTAGGCAGTTTCCCGGCAAAATTTGTATCACCACGTATTAGTCAGAACATATTCTTTCACATGATTGGTAATCAGAGCTTCCATTTCATTTTTTGAGGGGGCGTTTCAAAAACTGGTCTATACCTTTAAAAATTCAGTTAGTGTAGGACATTGGCGCAGAGCAATGGTGGCAGGAGTAAGTATGGAACAACATGCTACTGCCTGCAGTAGGTTGCGTCTATTTGCTTGAGGTGGGGGACGGCTAGTTTAATCTTGTTCCTGTACATCTTGTCCTTGTAGATGGGGTTGTGTTCTAGGTAGACCGTTTCGAGTTTGGCGAGGGATTTGAGCTGATCGACGTCTTTCCAGTGGTCCAGGAGATTGTTGTTGAACTGGGTATGGAAATAGCAAGGGGGAGAAGAGAGAGGAGGGATAGAGAGTGAGAGAGAGAGAGAAGAGAAAAGAGAGAGAGAGAGAGAAAGATAAGAAAGAGAAAGGCGAAGAGAGTGAGAGAGAGAGAGGGGGGAGGGAGAGAGAGAGAGAGAGAGAGAGAGTGAGTGAGAGAGAGAAACAGGGAGAGGAGGAGGGAGACAGAGAGAGAGAGTTGGAAAGAGAAAGAGGGGGGAGGGAGAGTGATAGAAAGTAGGAGGGAAAAGAAAAAAGTAAGAGAAAAACAGAAAGAAAGAATAAAAATATAAAAGGAAACAAAAGAGAGATAGAAAGAGAATTTTGAGAAAGAAGATATAATGAGAGGAAGACAAAATCTTAGTTTGACTTTCTTTTTAATAAGTGAAAAGTGTTATCATTGCCAGAAAATAATTTCTGCTTGTAGTATTTGAACTTAATCTTTGTCATTATGAGCTTATTGCTTTAATTATTAAATGTTATTACCTATTTTGTTTCCTGTAATTTTGATGTTTGCTTTTACCATTGTACAAAACCTGTAATTCGGCTTTCGAGCAGCGATTGATTTTTATTTCAATAAACCATTACTACTACTTCTACATGGTTAAGGGTACATTCAGACGATTCGGTTTTCCACTTGTTTACAAATAGTTGACTTCCCAAAAGCCTCTGGTATCACACAGACTATGAAAATAATCATTTACTTACCCAGAACTCCTCGAGAAGCACCAGATGACCGACATTCTGTATCCTTGTGATCTTGTTACCTGCTAGATCTAGCGTTGTAAGATTAACCTGAATAGTTAAATGGGAGGATGACAAGAATAACCGTTATAACAGGTTATACATTGGAGGACTTTATGTTTGAAGTGAGTACAAAACGTTGGTGTTAGAGGGCAAATTAATGAATTATTGAATGTCAGCCATTAGGGTACTCTAAAAAATACCATAATACATAATGCGCCTCAAAATAGTTTAACTACATAGATAGCGCGATATAAGTGCATTACATATCATATGCATTTATTTATACATAAAAATGATACTTTTGTTTGGGAAAAGCTAAATATCGATACACATTGCTTACAATGGCATCACAGGGTTTTGAAATAAACTCCGGCATTTGTTTTGAGCCAATACTGGTGGATGCCCGACAAAGCTATCAAGCATAACATTTACAATGTTACCAGATTTATGAAAGATAATGGCATATAATGAAACTTGTCTAAAGGCCAACAATGGGAAAAGGAAAAGTAGCCACTGTAGACAGGTGGACTTTCTAGACAGGCTCTTTAAAAGCATCATATGTAGTCCTATACCAAACCAACCTTATCCACATAATAAACACAGATTTCTTCAAGTTGGAGGACAATATAAAAGACCACCATGGACAAGTGGGAGCACAATATAGGAAACCATAAGAGAGAGGTGGCCTTTCTAGAGAGCGGGCTACTCTTTTAAAAAAAGAACAGTTTTGGTTGTACTTACATTGTTTTCTAGATTTTCTATAACTTCTAAGCCATTGTGACTAATGTAGAGTTCTTCCAAGCTTGTCACTGCATCAAGACCCTCGAGCTTGGTGATGCGATTACTCTAGAATATAAAAGAAAGGGATGGTTGAGTGATGTACATGATGAATTCATTATGCCTTTCAAGCACCTTGGGAATATTCCAGATTAGTTCATGGAGCAAAAACCAACAAGATTTTGATTAAATTGTACCTGGAGAAGAAACAAAATCATGCAACATAAACTGCGTACATTATATCTAGTATGAAATGGATACCGTTTTTTGTTTTTTGTCACAGCTTCCATGACAGAAAAATCTAACCCTGAAAGCTGCCATGCTGTCTGAGAAAATGATATTGTACGATGTTCATAAAATACATGCAAAGGTATTTTTAAAGCAGCTTTCCAAATTGGGTATTATATAAGTGTAGCACAAATCATCAGTTTGACTATAATGTAGTCTTATGTAGATTCTTTTTTTTCTTTTTCCATCCAATTCTCATATTTATGAGCTGGAAACTATCAATTTGATCAACCTGCAATACAAAAATGAGTGTTCATTGTAAAAATACCAAATGCTCCTAAGAATGGAAGAGCCACCCATGTATGAACTTTTCTTGGGCATTGAAAGAAACTTTCTTGGGCATTAACCCTATTTTAACTGGGCCATTTCAGACCAGGTTTTACATGAGCATGCATAAATTTGCATATATTATCTGATACATGTCCATTTCATTACACACACATGTATGGAAAGTCAGTTTTTGGATGACCTTTGATCCTTATTGGTCATGTGACCTTGTAATGCTTGGTCCGAGCTTGGCAAATTTAGTACCAAAAGTTGCGCAAGACTTTAAGGAAAAACTTCATGAAAGGAAAACTTTATATGTGCCGCGGTTCTGGAGTAGTCGCTAAATTACTACAGGGGGGTCAAATAGGGTTAAAAGAACCTTACCTGTATACTAAGAACTCGCAGCTTTGTGAGCTTGTCCAGGTTTTCCAGCTTTGTGATCTTGTTCTTCCCAACAAACAAACTCTCAAGGTTGACTAAAGTATCAAGATTCTCTAATTTCTGTAATTAAAAAAGAATGAAACATCATATCAATAAGAAACAAATGTCAATTTTTGTTACAAATAATTATATCTGAATCATGCTTCATGACATTACAGAGCTGGCCAGAGGTACATGTATACTGACCAGCTCAATTTCAAACATTTTCACCCAAAAAATCAGATCTTACAAGAAATAATTTATAATAATGACCCTAGAATGTCCAATTGTACAATAAGAATAACATTTTGGGGGACAAAAATCCATATTACCTCAAGACATATGTAGTCGCTTGAACACAATTCTTGTAATTAGAATATACAGAGTTTTAAAAAAAACCTGGGTAATACAGGTGAACTACCGGTACCTAGTCCCTATGATAGGCTCAAACCTGTATGTTCTCTAACTACAAACATTAAAACCACTCCACTGACTCTAGTATCAACCAATCAATCAATCAATCAATCAATCACTAGTGCCCTGTCCTGAACTTGAGTTTGATATCAAGCTCTATACATAACAAATAGGCAATCACATTTTTGTGACTGATTTGAAAATGTGCTACAATTTGAATCTATCACATTGAGAAACCGTCCTTACTCGTATCCTGTTGTCCCCCAGCTCCAGCATATTGAGATTGGTGAAATGGCTGAGGTTGTCGATCTTGGAGATCTTGTTATTGATAAGGAAGATCCTCATTATCTTGACCAGGGTTTCCAGATTCTCTATGGTCCTGATCTTGTTGAAAGACAGGTCTAGAATGCTACAAAAGATAGGAAGGGGAGGGGAACAGATGAAATGAGAAATTAATTCAAAATGCTCATATGAGAAATAGTTGAAATGGGGTATATCTTATTTTACAGGTATGATGCATGCTCTTGCAACTATTTTTTTCTACACATTTATCATATTCCAACAATTAGACCCTGGCCCCAACACTATACCTTACCCTTACCCTAAACCTAACCTAAGACCTCTTGCAACACTTACCCTAAACCTTCATTTTTAATCAAATAAAGCACTAATAATAATAATAATAGGCATTTCTATAGCGCCGTCTATCTAGAAATTTTATTCTGAGGCGCATTTATTATTATCCCGGCTTTAGCCTAACTGCCATTACAGCGCTCCAGCATTTCAAGGAATTAATTCCTGCCAGGTACCCATTCACCTGGGTCGAGTGTGGCAAATGAAAATAAATGCCTTGGAATTTCCAGTAAAGTACTTTAATCACTCGACACTAAGCAATCATAGCTGGAGCATAGGATGGATCTTTCTTCTATCTTGAGTACAAAGACTAATAAATGTAAACAGCACCTTCATTTAAGTCCAGGGATACATAGACGCTCACAAGAGCATCACAGATTTTCAATCATGACTATCTCTCATCCTTCCTTTCAAATTCATAACTTCTTCATAGTTGACCCTTTTTTGGTGAAAATTCTAGATCTGTTTCACTTTTCTATTGAAATCACAATTCATTTTGCTCCCACAGTTGAGTAATTGATAGTGTTTTGGACAACAAGACAATAATCATCATTTGGTTAGAATTTAGAAACCTTTTCCAAGTCATATTTCAACCACTTGACTATTTTCTTTTCAGTATGTAATATTGGTTCTTCAATGAATGAACTCACGTCAGCTCTACCAGTGTCTCCAGGCCTTCAATCTTTTTCAGCTGATTATCATAGAGGTCAAGGTCGGTCAAGGTCGTCAGGGTCTCCAAGTTTTCAATCTTCTTGATTTCATTTTGACGCAGACACAGAGTCTAGTGGGGATACAGATAAAGGAATAGATTGAAAATTTAGAATTTAGAACTTCCTTGCACCTTTTAAAGATTCAAAGTAGAGGGCTCTCATGGGGAATTCAACACCATCAATCATGTATTCTCTTGACTGTCAAAATGTTTTAAAAATTGCCCAAAATAAAAATTAAAAGTTAAATAGGAAAACACACATGGGACTTTGATTGGAACTTAGCTTGATTTACTGAATTTCATTTGTTTAATACTAAGATTTTCCATCTTTTGTACCAAAATAACTTTGTTGACAGAGACTTGTTCATATTGAATATCCAGAGCAATTTGGTTTGGACTCGGTGGGAATTCAATTTCCCTCCATTACCAAAACAAGATGACCTGTGACCTTGTTCTTATTTCATGTTTTGTAAAGCAACATGTATTTCAGGGAGTGTTTCACAAAGACCAAGATCATCTTTAAGTTGGACTTAACTATGGCTGGCCGTTCATGCCATTATTTCCTCAAACCATTCCTGGCATTGGCTTCTCAAGGGACATTCAAAGCATGGTCACAAATCTTCAGAATTTACATTTTTTGATAGTTCATTATTGAAGGAAAAAATATTATCTAAAGATCATAATTGAGAGACCAATGGTGAGAGCAACCAGTGGCACAATTGGCCTGCCATAGTTAAGTCTAACTTCAAGTAAATCTTAGTCTTTAACACTTCCCTGATCTTGTAATTAATTTAATGTAATAGTTTGAGCTTACCTCCACCTGGGTCAGTACTTCAAAGCCAATGATTTGAACCACTCTCTTATGTGTCAGATCTACATCCTGGGAAAAAAGAAGAGAACATACAACTAAAATCAAAATCAAATAGCATAGAAAAGACTGCACACTTTTGCAGAATAAAATAATTGCTAGGTCCTGTAACATATAAAAGCAACTTACAATCACTAGTAAAAACAGAGCAAATTAATCTATTGTATCTCCATTCATACTACAATTAGATGTGTCTTACTATAAATGTTATCATTTTCTAACATAAAATTGATCGTAAGTTGCTAATGATTTTAAAGATACAAGTGATTGCAAGAAATACATTTAATTTGGGGAAGATGGAATGAAGTGTACATGTAACTCTCAACAGTAAAGTGTCATTATTTTCTTGATTAAAAAAAAATCAGTTATCTTACAATAACCCAGAGTTCAATATGTTTCAGCATATCATAGTATTTGGGGGAGGGGGTGGGGGGCTTTTAGTTTTTGTGTGCAAATATATTCATGATATACTTTATAAAGAAAGAAAAAAGAAAGAAAAAAGCACTTGTTTACAAATGACTGCTGCACATTCCATTGTTTTAATCCATTACTATTGTGACTTACATGCATATGAAGCAAACAGAGTTAAAAGAGGTGCATTTCAAAAGATTTTCAATCATTTGCGAATACCAGGAAGTGATGATGGTCAATATAAGGCACAATGCAACACTAACAATTGGAGATCCCAAATACACTTACCGGTATACAAATTCTTAACCAAAAAAAACAGCAAAAACAAAAACTTTCAATTCATAGTTGAAATGTTCTTTCTTTATAGAGTACCTTATAATTAACATTCAAACAATTTGAGGTAATAATTATGAAAATAATAAACCTACAAATGCCACTGAGGAAAACTAATACACAAGTATTAGATAACATTTTATGAAGTGTAAAATAGTTTCTATGCTTATACTGTCTGCAATTACATGCATGATATTGACAAAAAAATTATTTCTTTTCAATTTTCACAAAATATCTTTATTTTATAAAAATAAAAATTATAGCATAGTTTATTGACATCAGTCAATATGGTATTACTTAAAACAATCTTCAGCGGAAAACAGTTTGTGCAAATGTGTATAACAGGAAGTCCTCATTGGGGAGGGGTGACTGGTTGTACCCCCCCCCCCCTCCCTTTAAATCTTAAATCCTCCAGAGGTAGAAAGATACTTACATAAGCATTTGGGTCTAAAGAGATTGGTTCTTGTTCTGGAGGCTCTATCATCTCCACTCCTGGCTCTCCTTCTCCTTCCTCTTCTGATTCATCAGTCAATGGTGTATCTAGAAATAAGAGGATCAAATTGCCAAAATTAAGAAAATTTGAGATCAAGAAGAAGAGCAACAATAAAACAGTGTAACACTAACAATATTAACAATGTACCGGTAGGGCTAGACCGAATTTTCCGTCTCTTTCGTTCGTTGGCCTCTTATTGGGGTAGGGTCGGCCGGCTCTCTCTTTAGAGACGGAAACCGTCTATACACATTCCCTTGATAACTCCACGGCCATTTCAGGTCGTAGCGTTTTGCCCCCAAAATCCCCCAAAATCCCCCAAAATGTCATTTTACCTCGTGTATATGATAATGTAAATTAGGCCTAGGCTATAATACATCGGTTCCACTTACTAACTTGATTGAAATAATCCGTTTAATGGTCCCTTTTAAGGAAATTATGGGTCAAAATCGACATCCATGTTGAAAATCTTGCAAGCCGTGTTAAACTCTCGCTGCCGGAGGAGTCATCTAAATCAATCTCATCCCTTCTAGTCTACGCCGAAGGCAAAATGATTATGAAGGAAAAACTGTGCGCCATCTACACGTTCGTAATGGCGTTATCACAGTTTTTCCTTCATAATCATTTTGCCTTCGGCGTAGACTAGAAGGGATGAGATTGATTTAGATGACTCCGGCAGCGAGAGTTTAACACGGCTTGCAAGATTTTCAACATGGATGTCGATTTTGACCCATAATTTCCTTAAAAGGGACCATTAAACGGATTATTTCAATCAAGTTAGTAAGTGGAACCGATGTATTATAGCCTAGGCCTAATTTACATTATCATATACACGAGGTAAAATGACATTTTGGGGGATTTTGGGGGATTTTGGGGGCAAAACGCTACGACCTGAAATGGCCGTGGCGTTATCAAGGGAATGTGTATAGACGGTTTCCGTCTCTAAAGAGAGAGCCGGCCGACCCTACCCCAATAAGAGGCTAACGAACGAAAGAGACGGAAAATTCGGTCTACGGTAGGGCCTACCCATCTTATTTTATATTTTCTACTCAATTTCATATTAAGATCCAGATCTACAGTAGGGGCGCTGGTCCGAGAATAAGGATCGTCTTCATAAACGAGGATCTTCTTCCTAAAAACGGACCGATGCGTCCTCAAAAATAAGGACCGTCTGCATTTTTGCAGACGTTTCAAATTTTAATTTAGCGCATTGGCGATGCAAAAAACGGATTCTGCAATGATTTTCTTGATGCATTTTACATTGACATTGTACAGAGACTTTCACATTATCAGCAATAAATCCTTGGGAAGACGGACAACCCATAAAAGTAGACGGACAACTAGGGTTATTTTGGCATCGCCAGCAGGCCGTTCTGTAACATGAAACCCCCAGAGCGCCGATGAAAAAAAACGTCCTCGAAAATGCAGACGACCCTTATTTTTGAGGACGCATTTTGTCCTCGTTTATGAGGATATCCTTGTTTATGAGGACGATCCTCATTCTTGGACCAGCGCCCCTACTGATCTAGTCAAGAGGACTGGAAACTCATCATTAAATGAGAGATCTAGACTAGATCTATCTAATATTATAAGTTAGCTGCACTGTAGACTGTTACTGTAGTGAAGCCCATTTCATGGCTATTTCATCATCTTTTTTTGTCACTCTTTCAATATTCATCTTCTTTCTTTGTTTTGTTTTAGCACTTTTTCATGTTTATTTTGTTACGTTTTCTTCATCATTTTTAAATCATTTTGTAACTAAGCTAAGCCAAGTGCATATAGGCACAGAATATATTCCACATTAGTTGGACTCAATCTCAAATTCTTCTCAAGAAGCTAGACTGGAAAATTGAGAATTTATTTTAGCTCAGACTCGAACACTGCACCAGCACTTGCCACTGCGGATGCGGTGCGAACTGCACTAGCTGTACTGTTTGACTTCGACTTTTTGAGCAATATTTGTGTGGAAGTCTCAACAACATTCAACAGGAGCTGGTAGCGTCAAAGATTGATAGCTTACATTTTCACCCACGAAAAAATTAATAGCCATCATTTTTACAGTTATTGATACCTTAACCATGAAATAACATGAACAAAAATAACAAAATCTTACCATTCTTTTCCTCCGCCATTCTAGTTTTTTTTTGTAGCAGTCGCCTCACAGATTTCATTTCATTGAACTAGCGGACGAAAAATTGCTCTTCAATGTTATGGTATCTCTAACTATATGGATACAAATGAAAGGTGATGGCAAATTCAGATGGATTTTTGGAAGAAATCTATAGAAAATTAGAAATCATGAAAAAACAGATGAACATGTTTTATGAAAGAGATACAGAGAGAGAGAAAGAGAGAAAGAGAGAGAGAGAGAGAGAGAGAGAGAGAGAGAGAGAGAGAGAAGACAGAGAGAGAGCGAGAGAGATGGGATACTGGGGAGGGGGGGAGACATTTTTTTTTTTAAAGCAATTAGACGGAGAAGAACAATGATTTATTAAAATGAGTGAGAAAAGAGGAAGTCGCTTGCGAGTTGCAAGGTTCCTTTAGAATATTGTTGCATCTAGAAAACAAACACGAATATGGAAATTGAGATGTATTAGGCATAAGAGTGCACAAAATGAAGACAAGCATAATTACATGAAGTTCATTCGTTTTTTTGTTTTATACAAACAAAAGGGTACAGAAATCATTTTTTCAATCAATTTAACTCGATCTGTCAAGTAAACAGATGTTGAATGCAAAACATGATTAGAGCCTTTAGAGACTTCCCTTCCCATTGCAACTTTTCATCATTTTGAACTTTTGCTTATTAATTCCTTACTTTTCCCTAGCTTGAATGATCTTCAAATGAAATCTAGAGAAAAACTTAACAGATAAACACATAGAGAGAGAGAGAGAGAGAGAGAGAAACTTAATTAAATTACGTTTTTCTTTAATATACACAAGACTATGTCATTGTTGTAACTTCCGGAGCCTATGACCTACAAGCATTGCTTTCTCTTTAGGCTCCATCATATTTCTTCCCTTATTCAACTTAGTCTTATGTATCATTTTTTTTTTTTTTTTTGTATAAACGCATCCTAAAATGAGTTCAAAATGTAGCATGCTATATGTAATGATGTACTATACAACATGTGAGAAATATGAAAATAAACTGAAACTGAAACTAAACTGAAACTGAAACAAAAAGCAAGAAAGAGGGGAGATAATAAAATAAAGAAAACATATTTGTGTTAGGATTGGGGCGAATGAAACTGCGCACGTTGACATTTATGATAGCCGCCCTCTATATAATAAGACCCCTTTGAAACTTAATTACAATTTATTCAAGGATAAGTTTGGGAAAAGAAGATCAAGATAAAAATAATCGATTCCCCGGCCGGGATATGATGAAGATGATAATCATGATAATGATCAGTGACGCATGGTGAAATAGACGATGATGATAATAATGACGACGATGATGATGATGTATTGAACAGTGCATTAAACTTTTAAAAAAAGCAGAAACACAAAGTTGCAAACCGTCCAGAGACTCCCAATAAATTGCGTTACTGCATTACAAATCTTTATTCTCAGTTTTCTTATGTATAACTGATATTCTTATAAAATTGAAGGTATTTATGGCGTATATATTAAATACTGAATGAACGCCATTAAACTATTACTACAACAACAACACAACTATTGAACAGTGCATATGGATTATGGTGTTCAATGATGGTAATGATGATGATGATGAGGATCTGGTGATGATGAATGATGAAGATGATGATGATGATGATGATGATGATGATAATGCGGATACTGAGATAACGAATATTTAGTAAGCCGTTGTGACCGCGTAGAATGTAACCCGCACCGATCGTCCGACTATTAGAGATCGATCGAGAGCGGACGATCGGTGCGGATTTTATCCGCGCAGAATGTCCGTGTCGGACATTCCGTGCGCGCCTCAAATGTCTGACGGACAATCTGTGCTGAAGAGGTCTCGCACCAATAGTCCTCCTGCCACACCGAATGGTACTTACGGTAGGCAATCTTTTGGAACCTGTAGAGGTTTGCGCACGTCACTACGTAAAGGAAATGTTGACGCCCCCTAATGAATATGCATTATGCTTGTGCCGACACGGCGTGTACTGTCCGTACACGCTGTTCATGCATATCCTATCTAGGCTATGACAGCACATCTGCACTACCGATTCAAGCAAGAGAATATATCACTACACTTGTATTGTTTTGAATACATTAATTGCATCTATACTTGCATCATTAGTGCATTTCTATATTTGTATTGTACTGTTGTGACTTCATACTTGCATCAATATAAGTTGTTGCATCTAACCTGTTCCAAACTGCATTTTGCGTGTCCCAAATTTATATCTTTGTCATGGGTGCATTGTTTGCATCAATCAAGTTATTGCATTGAAAATGTTCCAATCTGCATTCTACGTGTTTCAAAATTTCTGTCTTTCGGTAATTGTATGGTTTGCCTACACACTCCAATTATTCAAATTATTGCATTGTATATGTTCCAAGCTGCATTCTACGTGTTTCAAAATTTCTATCTTTGGGTAATTGTATTGTTTTGACTTCACACTCCCATTATTCAAATTATTGCATTGTACATGTTCCAAGCTGCATTCTACGTGTTCCAAAATTTCTATCTTTACGGGATAATATTGTTTTGCCTACACACTCCCATCTTTCAAATTATTGCATTGTACATGTTCCAAGCTGCATTCTACGTGTTCCAAAATTTCTATCTTTCGGTAATTGTATTGTTTTGACTACACACTCCCATTATTCAAATTATTGCATTGTACATGTTCCAAGCTGCATTCTACGTGTTCCAAAATTTCTATCTTTACGGGATAATATTGTTTTGCCTACACACTCCCATCTTTCAAATTATTGCATTGTACATGTTCCAAGCTGCATTCTACGTGTTCCAAAATTTCTATCTTTCGGTAATTGTATTGTTTTGACTACACACTCCCATTATTTAAGTTATTGCATTGTATATGTTCCAAGCTGCATTCTACGTGTTCCAAAATTTCTATCTTTGGGTAATTGTATTGTTTTGCCTACACACTCCCATCATTCAAATTATTGCATTGTACATATGTTCCAAGCTGCATTCTACGTGTTCCAAAATGTCTATCTTTACGGGATAATATTGTTTTGCCTACACACTCCCATCATTCAAAATAATTATTGCATTGTACATGTTCCAAGCTGCATTCTACGTGTTCCAAAATTTCTATCTTTACGGGATAATATTGTTTTGCCTACACACTCCCATCATTCAAATTATTGCATTGTACATGTTCCAAGTTGCATTCTACGTGTTCAAAAATTTCTATCTTTTGGTAATTGGATTGTTTTGCCTACACACTCCCATCATCCAAATTATTGCATTGTACATGTTTCAAGCTGCATTCGTCGTGTTCCAAATTTTCTATCTTTCGGTAATTGTATTGTTTTGACTACACACTCCCATTATTTAAGTTATTGCATTGTATATGTTCCAAGCTGCATTCTACGTGTACCAAAATTTCTATCTTTTGGTAATTGTATTGTTTTGCCTACACACTCCCATCATTCAAATTATTGCATTGTACATGTTCCAAGCTGCATTCTACGTGTTCCAAATATATCTTTGGGTAATTGTATTGTTTTGCCTACACACTCCCATCATTCAAATTATTGCATTGTACATGTTCCAAGCTGCATTCTACGTGTTCCAAAATTTCTATCTTTCGGTAATTGTATGGTTTGCCTACACACTCAAATTATTCAAATTATTGCATTGTACATGTTCCAAGTTGCATTCTACGTGTTCAAAAATTTCTATCTTTTGGTAATTGTATTGTTTTGACTTCACACTCCCATCTTTCAAATTATTGCATTGTACATGTTCCAAGCTGCATTCTACGTGTTCCAAAATTTCTATCTTTCGGTAATTGTATTGTTTTGACTACACACTCCCATTATTCAAATTATTGCATTGTACATGTTCCAAGCTGCATTCTACGTGTTCCAAAATTTCTATCTTTACGGGATAATATTGTTTTGCCTACACACTCCCATCTTTCAAATTATTGCATTGTACATGTTCCAAGCTGCATTCTACGTGATCCAAAATTTCTATCTTTCGGTAATTGTATTGTTTTGACTACACACTCCCATTATTTAAGTTATTGCATTGTATATGTTCCAAGCTGCATTCTACGTGTTCCAAAATTTCTATCTTTGGGTAATTGTATTGTTTTGCCTACACACTCCCATCATTCAAATTATTGCATTGTACATATGTTCCAAGCTGCATTCTACGTGTTCCAAAATGTCTATCTTTACGGGATAATATTGTTTTGCCTACACACTCCCATCATTCAAATTATTGCATTGTACATGTTCCAAGCTGCATTCTACGTGTTCCAAAATTTCTATCTTTACGGGATAATATTGTTTTGCCTACACACTCCCATCATTCAAATTATTGCATTGTACATGTTCCAAGTTGCATTCTACGTGTTCAAAAATTTCTATCTTTTGGTAATTGGATTGTTTTGCCTACACACTCCCATCATCCAAATTATTGCATTGTACATGTTTCAAGCTGCATTCGTCGTGTTCCAAATTTTCTATCTTTCGGTAATTGTATTGTTTTGACTACACACTCCCATTATTTAAGTTATTGCATTGTATATGTTCCAAGCTGCATTCTACGTGTACCAAAATTTCTATCTTTTGGTAATTGTATTGTTTTGCCTACACACTCCCATCATTCAAATTATTGCATTGTACATGTTCCAAGCTGCATTCTACGTGTTCCAAATATATCTTTGGGTAATTGTATTGTTTTGCCTACACACTCCCATCATTCAAATTATTGCATTGTACATGTTCCAAGCTGCATTCTACGTGTTCCAAAATTTCTATCTTTCGGTAATTGTATGGTTTGCCTACACACTCAAATTATTCAAATTATTGCATTGTACATGTTCCAAGTTGCATTCTACGTGTTCAAAAATTTCTATCTTTTGGTAATTGTATTGTTTTGACTTCACACTCCCATCTTTCAAATTATTGCATTGTACATGTTCCAAGCTGCATTCTACGTGTTCCAAAATTTCTATCTTTCGGTAATTGTATTGTTTTGACTACACACTCCCATTATTCAAATTATTGCATTGTACATG